CAATGAACGGAATACCGAAATCAAATCAAAACAAACAAGCGCACATGTTGTTCACATGGAACTGCTAAAACAGAGTAACACCAAACAAATCTTAAAGGGGGGGCGGAATGGAAAAGAAAGTTTCCAAATGCGAATGAAAGAATAAAAAGGCTGATGTAATACACAATGGTTTCTGGATCAGAAAGGAAGAGGTATCGTCTTCTGAGTTATGTAGTACAGTGGTACCTTGGTTTACGAACTTAATCCGTTCCGGAAGTCTGTTCTTAAACCAAAGTGTTCTTAAACCAAGGCATGCTTTCCCATAGCAGCGGGGGACTCAATTTACAAATGGAACACACTCATGTTCTGCTTCCAAGGCAAAGTTCACAAACCAAAACACCTACTTCTGGGTTTGCAGCGTTCTTAGTTCAAGTTGTTCATAAACCAAGCTGTTCTTAAACCAAGGTAGCACTGTATTTCAGGAAAGGAAAGACAATGCAATAGAAAGAAGCAACACTGGATTATTGATTTGTTCAGCTATAAATTGGCTCTCCTAGTGGCTTGGGTCCTACCCAATATATCCAATTGGTCAATGCGTTCGGCGGGACGGCCTCTTGCATGTACCATCTATCAGAAGGTCTGATCTGCACTATGGAGGAATCTGGGTCTCTAGTATGGTGACACCTACCCTTTGGAACTCCCTGCTGCTGCATATTAGACTGGTGCCCGCCTCTGTTGTCTTTTTGGACACCTGCTGAACACCTACCTCTTTCAACCAGCCTTTCAAAGTAGAGATCATTCCCAGTTTGCACCTGTATCAGAACTGTTTTTCTTAGAGGTTTAAGATATTTTATCACTTGTGCGTTTGCTACCCTGGGCTCCTTTGGATGGAAGGGCAGGATCATACATTTGACAAGCCAACCAACAAATAATACTCTAAAACAGGCTTATAATAAAGGCTAATAACGCAGCAGAGGAAGGCACAAATGAAAAATGGCTTCTTTCCCCACACATTGGTGAGGAAACATTTTATTTCATAAAATCTATATACTGCTTGATTGCAAAAAATAAAAAAGAATAAAACAATGACATTATTAGTAAAAAAAAATCAACACATTCAAAAAATTAAAACCAGCAATAAACTAAAAACACATCAGCATTCTAGATATCTGATTAGGCTTGCCTAAACAAAAACGTTTTTAGCAGGCTCCAAAAAAAAAGCAATGAAGTTGCCTGTCTGATATCAATAGGCGGTGAGTTCCAAAGTTGTGGAGGGCCTTTGTACAGTAGTTTCTACACAAACCCACCCCAATGTCCTCCATTTAAGGAAGTGTAAGGAGACTCTTGAGAGTCCCGTGGACTGCAAGAAGATCAAACCTATCCATTCTGAAGGAAATCAGCCCTGAGTGCTCACTGGAAGGACAGATCCTGAAGCTGAGGCTCCAGTACTTTGGCCACCTCATGAGAAGAGAAGACTCCCTGGAAAACACCCTGATGTTGGGAAAGATGGAGGGAGGCCCAAGGAAAAGGGGACGACAGAGGATGAGATGGTTGGACAGTGTTCTCGAAGCTACAAACATGAGTCTGACCAAACTGCGGGAGGCAGTGGAAGACAGGAGTGCCTGGCGTGCTCTGGTCCATGGGGTCACGAAGAGGCGGACATGACTAAACAACAACAACAACAATCAGAGTTCAAAGACATGCTCCAGCCAGGGAAAATCACTTAAGGACTGAGAATCCAGCCCACAATATTGGAAGGGGCATGGGAGGCCATCATGTTGAACACCCTTCGCTCAGTGTAGGATTCTGAGGTGGGGCACCAAAGAACCTAGCCATTCCCTAATACAATTCTCTCATTTCCACAGTGACATTAATGTGGGCAGTGCTTTTGTAGAGGAACCACAAGACTGTGTGAGATCCTGCTCTGAGGAGATGACGAGAGAGTAATCATCTTTTAGGAACTGGAATCCTGTTTCTCTCCAAAAAGCAAAATACAGGGACAAGAAACAGAAAATAGTGACTGTTCCTGGTGAACAGAGAAGAGTTGGAACATATAAAGCAAGCAGGTGTTTGTCATCCTAGAAATGTAATAATGAGGGGTTGAACATTTTTCATCATGGACAGGAGTAAGGATCTTGAGCCAAGCAAAACAAAATTATGCTGCCTCCAGCTGGGAATAACTGTTTATTTTGGTGTGTGTGTGTGTGTGTGTGTGTGTGTGTAGAGGAAGCATCTGAACATATCAGCTTACCTGGAAATGACTGTCTTCTAAAGGCATTCTATACGGCAAGAACTTGTAGAAGCAAGACTTTATTTATTTATATATCACCTCCACCTGCCTCAAAAGGAGCTCAAGGCAGCATACACAGTTCTTTCCCCCCCCCCTTTAATCCCCAAAACAACCCTGTGGAGGTAGGTTAGGGTGAGAGGTGGCCTAAGATCACTCAGTGGACTTCATGGTGTTATCTGAATTCTGGCCTCCCAGGTCTTAGTTTGACACTTCAGGTACAGTGGTACCTCAGGTTAAGTACTTAATTCGTTCCGGAGGTCCTTACTTAACCTGAAACTGTTCTTAACCTGAAGCACCACTTTAGCTAATGGGGCCTCCCGCTGCCGCCGTGCCACCAGAGCACGATTTCTGTTCTCATCCTGAAGCAAAGTTCTTAACCTGAAGCACTATTTCTGGGTTAGTGGAGTCTGTAACCTGAAGCATAGGTAACCTGAGGTAGCACTGTACTACAGAACCCTGGCTCTCTTGATCTCTCCAAGGACTCAAGGACTTTTGAATTCAGCACTTGCTACAAGCAACGAGCTTTTCCAAAATTACAATAGGTTCTTATTTTGTGTTCGTGAAGAACAAAGTAAGAGTTCTGCTCTGAAGATCTAGGCCTAACAACATCTTTGTTTGAAATATGTTGAATGGGACTACTTAGCTGCAATATTTTCAATTACTTATTGGTTTAAAAAAAGGCATAATTTTGCTTTGTCACTATATGGGCTTTAATGGAGTTGCAGAAATTCAGCGTTGACTAAAAAATAGCTGCTTGTCCAATACAAGATGCCTTGCCAACCCTTATTAAAATTATTGTTGTAGCAGAGGGTTGTGTTCCACGCCACCCCCCCACCCCCCCAATAATTCCAAATGCCCTTGCACTGCAGGGGAGAAGACAGCAAAAAGCAAATAGGAGGGGAAGAAATAATATTTCATTTTTTAAAATAGAATAACCAGTCTAATTTTCTCCAGTTTGGATATGAAAAATTGGAATTAATATTAAGTGATTAGAAGGTTAACCTTCTTAGACTGCAAAAGCCAAACGTGATGATGATGATGATTAATACAAAACATGCAAGAACAGGCTGATTTCATTATTTATCATCTGACTATCAGAAGGAAGGATGTGTTCAAATTGATTATTTGTGGGCAAAGTATGAGATGAGAGGGTGGTGGAAGAGAAAGAGAGAGAGAGAGAGAGAGAGAGAAAGAAAGAAAGAAAGAAAGAAAGAAAGAAAGAAAGAAAGAAAGAAAGAAAGAAAGAAAGAGTGTATTATACCTGACTGACAACATCCTGCAAAGAAGGTTCTTCAAGTTGTTTTTTTGAAGGAAACAGAACAGCTCTGTTACTAAGGAAACTGAGCTATGCAGAGCTCACAGTTTCTGAATCAGGGATTATTTCATAGCAAACTTAGTTACGCTATTGTACGGTGAGCTGCCTAGCAGCCCTCTCTCTGTTCGGCTTAATTAATAAGAATACTTAACTGAATGGGAAAGAGATATCCTATTCAGCTAGCTATTTGTTATGTACCAAGCAGTCCTGTTTACAGATGTATTACATGCATGCAGATGGGGTCGTATGCAGACCAAGTGAAGCCCTTCCGTGTGGAGGGGGTGTTAAGTGGGCGCACACATAAGCCCCGCCCCAGTGACCCCAGCAGGCAGTGTCATTGGCTCTGGCTCCACCCAGTAATGAGCTCCCTGCCTTCTGCTGCACTAGTCACCACTGCCCAAGGGGGTTACAATCAAACTAAGGATAGGTGCATGGGAGATGGCAGAGGAAGGGGAATGGAAATGGAGATAGGGCTCTACCGTATTTTTCGCTCTATAAGACGCACCCGACCATAAGATGCGCCTAGTTTTAGGGAAGGAAAACAAGAAATAAGAAGCCTCCTGAGCGAAGAGGGAGCACTCCTCCCTCTTCACTCAGGAGGCTTTGCGGGGCTATCCCTGAAGCCAGGAGAGCAAGCGGGATCGGTGCACACCGATCCCGCTTGGTCTCCTGGCTTCAGCGAAAGCAAGCCTCCTGGCTTTCCCCCGACCTCCCGCAAGAGCCGCACACTCTTTAAAGGGAGCGTGGCTCTTGGGGGCTTTTCTGGGAGGTGGGGGAAGGGACAGAGCCGTGCGCTCTGTCCCTTCCCCCACCTCCCACAAAAGCCAGGGATAGCTGCGCGAAGCCTCTGCAGGGCAGTGGGACAAAGGCTCCCTTGCAGAGGCTTTGCGCGGCTAAGCCAGAAGCTAGAACAGCCAGGGGGAGAGCTGCGCAGCGCTCCCTCTCGCTGTTCTGGCTTCTGGCTCAGCCCACAAAGCCTGCATTCGCTCCATAAGACGCACACACATTTCCCCTTACTTTTTAGGAGGGGAAAAGTGTGTCTTATAGAGCAAAAAATACGGTAAATAATAATAGCAGCTGCAGCAACAACAGCAACAACAAACATGTCAGCAGCTTTTCTAACAAAGTAGGGCAGAGTGCTGGGGCAAAGTACTGATGTTTATCTGAGCTTCTGTCATTGGTATCACTGCAGCTTACAAGAAGGGTTCTGCTGCAACCAGATTGGTTCTGCTGGTGCGTTTGCAGCGATGCTGTTGATGGGAGGTAAGCGCTGCCGCCCCATCAGCTGCAGCTGCATATTGGCCCACCCCCATCTTCCCCCTGCAGACTGAAGTGGTCCTCTAAGCCCAGAACTGGTCTAACCGACTGCCTCGCCGCGGACCAGGCCTCTCTCTGATCTATGAAGGAACCCCGTACCTGCTTTGCGGAACTTCTCCAAGAGCTCGTGCCGAATGGACTTCTCCAGGTTGAAGTAGTCATGGTCTTCATCGGGTTCTCTCAGGAACAGAGGGATGTGCTGGAAGACGACAGCGTGGCGGCACTTTCTCGCTTCGGCCATTGCAAGCTGCTGCTGGAGCCACTCATCCTGGGCCTGCTTTAATTCCAAGCACTTGGAAGCATCAAAGTACAGCTGAGAGTTCAGCACAAGGAAGAAGACCCCTCCGACCCAGAAGCTGAAGTAATCGTCACCCCACTTTTGGCAATAATCTTCAAATTGTTTCAGGAGTTGGCGTGTTTCCAAGGTCGTGGTTCCCACTGACGAAGACCAGGGGGATGTCGCTGCTGACACCCTTCAGGGTGCTTTTCAAGTCTTGTATTTGTGCCTCCCGCCAGGGTGTCCCTACAAACCAAAAGGATTAGACGTTATTTCTGCAGGATTTTTACCAGTTCTGGCTCCCTCCTAACCTTTCGACATCTGCCACTCTCATTATGCAAAGAACTTGATTATCAAAAGCCCAAACCCAAAAAAATACCAATTAGAAAATACAATGATCTGGAAAGGTACAATTCAACAAACCGTGAAAAGCTGAGCAAACCATCGGAGCATTTGATCTGCCATTTTAAAAAAGAGATTATTTTATTTGACATGGCTTGGCAGGAGTGATTCAGGAAAGGTTCCATAAATATGTAATGGCATTTGCACGAAAACCTGTCGGTCTTCAGTTCATGGGCTGGGACCCACATGCGGGTCATAAGACAGGATCAAAAATCACAATTCAAAGCTAGCTTGCATCTCAAAAGCATTTGAAGACTAACCTGGTTCAGACATAACAACAAGCCACAGTTAGTTGAAAACGAAAATGAAAGCCTCTGAGTTCCTCCTTGCAGATGTGTTGGAGGAAAAGCACACAACACTAAATAACAGGCTTTATATAATGAGAAAACTCAGTATTCTCCCTCTCTTAGAAGAGAGTCTAAGCTGGAGAGGTGTATAGTTCTGCAGTACATCAGGATGTGCAGAGCCTGTGACCCTCTCTATATGTTGGACTCCAAGGCCCATCAACCCCAGCCAGCATGACCAATGGATAGGGATGGTGGAAGGTGGAGTTCAGCCACATCTGAAGGGGACGTAGCACATATTTCTGCAGTCATAGATTGAAGGATAATGCAGGGCCATCTCCTTCGGTAAGGAAGTGGTGGGAGACCACAGGGAAGGAATAGCTGGCATGGACAAGGATACCTTACGGTGTCTATTGGCTTGCAGTGCTGGCTGCAAATCTTCTCAGATCTTCTGAGAACAATCTGCTAGTGATGCTGCTCTAACTAAGCCTAAGTATGCGTAAACCACACGTTAGTCATACTCAGAGCAGACCCACTGAAATTAAATAACATGACTTAGTAGTTATTTAACTGAGTAGAACTCAGTTCAATGCAACCCTTGTTTTTTGCTTTAAGCGCCAGGCAGATTTTTCTTATTTCCTGGGCTTTTAACCCTTAATTTGAAGGCTGGCACTGTGACCTCTTTTAGTGGAGAGGACCACTAAAGTCCTGCCCTTTTTTTTGTTATCTGTGTTTTTAGCCTTCCATTTGTTTAGCTTTAAAGCCTTCACTTGTATTGCTGTACTTTAGGGCTTTTATTGTTAATTTCAATATGCTCTAATGTAATTTGCTTTGAGTTACTTTGTAAGAAAAGCAACTAACAAATTAAAAAAAGTAACAATGATGATGATGATGATGATGGTGGTATCTATTATTGCATATAGCTTAGTCGGTTAGAGCGTGGTGCTGAAGGAGCGTCTCCACCCCCATCATTCTACCCAGACACTGAGATCCAGCTCCGAGGGCCTTCTGGTGGTTCCCTCACTGTAAGAAGCTAAGTTACAGGGAACCAGGCAGAGGGCCTTCTTGGTAGTGGCACCTGCCCTGTGGAATGCCCTCCCACCAGATGTCAAAGAGAACAACAACTACCTTTAGAAGACATCTGAAGGCAGCCCTGTTTAGAGAAGCTTTTAATGTTTGATGGACTACTGTATTTTAATATTTTGTTGGAAGCCGCCCAGAGTAGCTGGGGAAACCCAGCCAGATGGGCGGCGGGGTATAAATAAATTATTATTATTATTATTATTATTATTATTATTATTATTATTATTATTATTATTACACCAAGGTTGCAGATTTGATCCTCACATGAGATGGCTACACGTTCCTGCATTGCAGGGGTTTGGACTAGATGATCCCCAGGGTCCCTTATACAATTCTATAAACTACATCTGCATCCCACCTTTTTTCTCCAAAGAGCGCAAGGTGGTGTACACACTCCTCTCCCTCTCCATTTTAACCTCATAGGTAGGTTGAGAGACAGTGACTGCCCCTAAGTCACTCAGGGGGCTTTGTGGCTCAATGGGGATTTGAACCCCGGTCTCCCAGGTCCTAATTCAGCACTGTAACCACTGCGCCAAGTAATAATGCAACTAATAATTTTAAGCCCTGCCTTCATTTCCATTTCCCTTCCTCTGCTGTCTACAGAGCATCTCTTCTTAGATGGCAAACCCATTAGGGAGTGCCGGCCGGTGCCCATTGGGACTGGTAGGGGAGAAGGCAGGGAGCCAATTAAGAGCCAGAGCCAATGGCAGGCAGAACCAGTCACTTCTAAGTCCCTCCTCCTCCTTGCTGAGTTCTACCCGGAGACTAAGGTACTCATAGGCAGTGCCAGTCCCCGGACTTGTTATAATGTGGAAGGTGGGGAGAAGAGGAGCTGGCTGAGGGCAGACTGAGCAGTTCTCCATTTGCCTTAACAAACCTGCATTTGGGGCAGAAAACTCTCCTCCCCTGGAACACAGAGGGCTTTTTTCAACAAAATCCCTGCCTCCCGCTGAAGATCCTGCTTCCACACTAGGAGAGGAGCCAGGCTACCTTCACCCCAGCTTGCTGTGGTCAGCAGAGGCGACATTGGCAGACTATTCTCTCAAAGTGCTAATCCATTTGCTAATAAATCCAGTGTTTAACTGACCTTGGCTGTGCCTGCTGCAGAGGACGCAAGTACAGAAAGAGGAGGCATTTATAATGCATCAGTTGACAGATCCCTCCTGCAGCTCTGCTAGTCTCTGTGGGGGCAGGTAGGTATCAGCTAGAGTTTTAGCAAAGTGGAACTGGTCCTGAATGGACAAGTACCCTCTCATCTCTGGGGGAAAGAAACCACTGCAAACTTGTTTCCCACAGATCATTCTAAGAGAGAAGCAAGGCTGTCAAGGAGCCAGCACGGTGCACCGTAGGGGTGGGGAGCCCTTAGCCCTCTCCAGAAACTCTTGGAATGCAGCTTATATCAACCCTGACCACTAGGCATGCTGGCTGTGGCTGAGAGGAGCTGGAGTTCAACAGCATCTGGAGGGCCTTAGGTCCCTACTCCCTGATGTAGCTGCTGGAGAGGGTCAGACTGAAGCTCAATTCTCTGCATCAGCTGCAATGCTCACTGGGTGACCTCAGGCCAGTCACAATCTTTCAGCCTGCTCTACCTCACAGTTAAATGCCACATGTGCAAACCATGCATGCCACTCAATGTTCTCTAGATGCGAGGCGGACTATCAATAAAAACAATATATACTTCAGTTATACCCTCCCTTTTCTGCAAGGAGCTCAAGGCAAGGTACATGGCTCCCTGCGTTTTATCCTCACAGCAACCCTGTAAGGCGGATCAGACAGGGAGATAACTGTTTGCCCAAGTTCACCCAGCTGTGCTTCATATGGCTGAGTAGGAATTCAAAACCAGGTCTCCTTGGTCAAATACTACACGAGCGGTGCTGAGACTTATGGGAGCTACACTGTTTATTTGTTTGTTTGAACTGGGACCCTGAGGTCCAGTGACTGGTGGAAGTTATGGGCTCAGGTGGGTGGCTTCCGGTTAAGAATAAGTACAGTCATACCTCGGGATAAATGCGCTTCAAGTTAAGTATTTTTGCGTTGCGCTCCACGGCGACCCAGAAGTAACGGAGCGTATTACTTCTGGGTTTCGCCGCGCGCGCATGCGCAGACGGTAAAAATGACGTCACGCACATGTGTGGAAGCGGTGAAACGCGACCCGCACACATGCAGACGCGGGTTGCGTTAGCTTCAGGATGCGAACGGGGCTCTGGAACAGATCCTGTTCGCATCCCGAGGTACGACTATATCTATCTGAGCACATGCTGAGTGCGGAAATTTGTAACCAATACCTGAACAAAGATCACAAGTCCTTTTACACAAAAATCCACTTCTAGTTTTCCCCTAAGCATTCAAAATAGTTTAGGGTGGTGGTGGAGTGGAGAACTTTTTTAGGTGCTGTTGTTGTTTCATAACTGGGACACCTTTGCCAAGAATGAAGGCTATCAATGACTACTAGCCACAATGGTTATGCTCTGACTCCATTTCTGAAGGCAGCAGGCCTAAGAATACCAGTCATTGGGAATCGCTAGAGGAGAGAATGTTGCTGTGCTTGGATCCTGCTTGCATTGGCACCTGACTGTGAGAACAGGATGCTGGACTAGATGAGCTTTTGGACGATCTCTTCTTATGTTCTTACTGCAAATCTACCAGTAGCACCCAATCCACCTCCTTCACCCCTGGACCAGATCACACTGCCATGGCAGTGTGGATGTTACCTACGCTACCAATTTGTGAGCCTCCATGGCCTTTTCCCTTGTCAGTCGGGGAAGCTTCAGCCCTCCAGCTATTGCTGAACGATGACATCCGTCATCCTTGCCCCTTGGCCATCCTTGCTGGGGCTGATGGGAAGTGGTAGTTCAGAAACGTCTGGAGGGCCACAGGTTCCCCACCTCTGGCCTAGAAGGAGATACCCAGTGGTGCTTTGTTTTTCTTCTGACTTTGACCTAGATTTCCTGGAGGTGAGTATACCTGTGCCTCAGCTCCTCCCTTCAGACTGCAGGTGGTGTGTCAGTGGGCCGCCTGATGGGGTCCTTCCCTGTCTTCAGCATTTCCTGAGCAGAGAAAACTAGGTGAAGTGGCTGCCCGACTCCCATACAGGCAAATGATTAGGCTGTGCCAAACTGCAGTATAATATGAAGTTGTTGCTTTCAACAAACTGATTTATCACTGTGAGATGTGAAACAAGAAGGGAATATCCTAGAACAAAAAATGGTATCAAGGGAGGTTTCTTATGCTTGAAGTGGGATAAAAATGTCCTTCTAGAAAAAGGAAAAGATGAGAAGCAGTGGAGAAAATTCACACGTCAGTTTTAGAATACAGTCATACCTCGGGTTACAGACACTTCAGGTTGTGTGTTTTTGGGTTGCGCACCGCGCTGAACCTGGAAGTACCGGAATGGGTTACTTCCAGGTTTTGGCACTCGCGCATGCGCAGAAGCGCCAAATTGCGACCTGCGTGTGCACAGATGCGGCGCTGCGGGTT